TTGGGGAGGAAATTGGAGGGGAGCTGTTGCATTGTGGTAAATTGTGGTCAATGACATGAGACAAAGTATATGTGAACTGCTGTATCGAGAGTGATTTTGCTCTGTAAATCTTCACCCAAATCTAAATAAAATAAAATTTTTTAAAAAAAGAAAGAATACTTCCTGTGGAACCACTGAGACTATGGCCCTTAGCTGCCCTTCAGGTCTGGAATTGAACGCACACTTGTGGCTTCCAGCCAAACAAAATACGGGCATATGAGTTGAACATTTACCTAAAGTAGATACACTCCTTGGAAAGAACAATCATGGGAGAAAGAAGGGCTGCTTATGCACAGGGAGACATCTCAGGGGGCAGGAGTGTATCGAGGGAAGGACACTGGGAAGAGGTAGCTATGGGGAGGAAGTGGGAGGGGAGCTGTTACATTGTGGTAAACTGTGGTCAATGACATGAGACAAAGTATATGTGAACTGCTGTATAGAAAGTGAATTTGCTCTGTAAATCTTCACCCAAATCACAATAAATAAATAAATACTTCCTTAGTCTCACCTTCTCTGAATTTTGGAATAAGATAAAATTTGAGCAAGACCAATTATAAACCATAACATGCTGATTACATGTCACACAATATTCTCAGAGCTCTATGTGAATCACTTCATGTCAATCTCACAGATACAACCATTAGCCTCTTCTGCAGATAAGGAAACTGAGGCACTGTTTTTAGGTGCCATTGAGTCAGTTTCAGCTCATAGTAACTCTATGTATAACAGAATGAAACACTGCCTGGTCCTGTGCCATTCTCACAATTGTTGCCATGCTTGAGCCCATTGTTGCAACCACCGCATCAATCCATCTCAAGAGTCTTCCTTTTTGTCGCTAACACTCTACTTTATCTAGCGTGATATCCTTCTCCAGTGGCTGCTCCCTTCTGATAACACAACCAAAGTACATGAAATGATGTTTTGCCTTTCTCTCTTGTAAGGAGCATTTAGGCTGTACTTCCAAGACAGATTTGTTCATTCTTCTGGCCAAACCATGGTATATTCAATATTCTTCGCCAACATCAAAATTCAAGTGTACCTATTCTTGTTTGGTCTTATTTATTCATTGTTCTGCTTTCACATGCATATGAGGCTATTGAAAAGAAAATAGCTTGGGTCAGGCACACCTTAGTCTTCAAAGTGATATCTTTGCTCTTTAGGACTTTAAAGAGGGATTTTGGAGCAGATTTGCCCAATGCAGTATGTCCTCTGCTTTCTTGACTGCTGCTTCTATGGGTGTTATTGTGAATCCAAGTAAAATGAAATTGTTAACAACTTCAATCTTTTCTCCTTTCATTATGATGTTGTTTATTGGTTCAGTTGTAGGACTTTTTTTTTTTTTTTTTTTAATATTGAGATGTAATCCACACAAAAGGCTATAATCCTTGATCTTCATTAGTAGATGCTTCAAGTCTTTTTCACTTTCAGCAAGAAAGGTTTTGTCATCTGCATATTATAGATTGTTAATGAATTGTCCTCCAATCCTAATGCTGTGTTCTTCTTCATCTAGTCAAGCTTCTTGGATTATTTGCTCAGCATACAGATTGAGTAAGTGAATGGTGAAAGGATACAGCCCTGACACACACACTTCCTGATTTAAACCGTGCAGTAGCCCTTTATTCTTTTCCAACAACTCTCTCTTGGTCTATGTGCAACTTCCTCATGAGCACATTAAGTATTCTGGAATTCCCATTCTTCCTAATGTTATCCATAATTTGTTATTATCCACACAGTCGAATGCCTTTGCATAGTCAATAAAACACAGGTAAACATCTTTCTGATATTCTTTGCTTTCAGCCAAGACTCATCTGCCTTCACAATGATATCTCTCATTCCACTACCTCTTCTGAATCCAGCATGAATTTCTGGCAGTTCCCCATCGATTTACTGTTGCAACCATTTTTGAGTTATCTTCAGCAAAATTTTATTGTGTGTTATGTTAAAGATATTGTTTGATAATTCCACATTCTGTTGGATCACCTCTTGTTGGAATAGGCATAAATATAGATCTCTTCCAATCATTTGGCCAGGTAGCTGTCTTCCAAAAATTTCTTGGCACAAATGAGTAAGCACCTCCAGTGCTGCATCAGTTTGTTGAAATATCTCAATGGGTAGTCCATCAATTCCTGGAGCATTAGTTTTTTGCCAGTTCTTTCAGTGCAGCTTGGACTTTTTCCTTCAATATCATTGATTCTTGATCATATACTACCTCCTGAAATTATTGAATGTCAACCAATTCTTTTTGGTACAGTGACTCTGTTATTT